AGAATTCACCGGAAGGGGTGCATGTGTTTGGATGCCTTACGGTCGTCGCAACTGTCGTACAAAGACGGACGTTTCCGAAGAGGCATCTTTAGTACAAGCTGCGAGCGGAGGTTGATAATTGCAATTTGCACGCAATGGTCAGGGGTTTGGAAATTTGGGGTTTTTTTTTTTTTTTTGCAACCGCGGAAATATGAGAATTTCAATCGAGAAGACAAAGTATACAGGATTATGTGCGGGGTATTCGTCACAGTCGAAACTTTGAAATATTGATGATTTAATTTGGGATATTGGATTGTGTGAGCTATGCAACTTCGTAAATGTCGAGGTAAATGTGATATGAATGAATTAATTAATTTGATTAACTTGAGTTTGTCAATATTTGCGATTGGAATGTATAAGCATCGCGATTCGTTAATTGAACACAAATTTATAGTCGTAATGTACTAATGATTGTAAATGTTCATACAATTCGTATCACTGAGCAACCCAATTCTTTGAATCAAAGAAAATTTCTTTACCCTCATTCCGTCAAATTAATATTTTCTTAGGAGTAAAAAAATATAAGTTAATTCAAAATAATATTTTATTAAATTAAAATTTTCTTTTTTTAACTACGAATTTCTCATTTAGTTGTACGAAATGTTTTTTTGGATCGACTAAATTTGTTTCAATTAAAAGAAAATATTTAACGGAATGAGGGTAAAGAAATTTTCTTTGATTCAAAGATACGTGATTTCGTGGAGCAACATAGTGTTGTTGGAAGTAAAACTGTTTTTAGTTAAATTTTCTAATTTTTGTATTTTTAAAATTGCAATTGAGGAGAACGACACATAAACGTTACAAACAGATAATATCATTTAAATTGACATTAATTTTGTTGTCGATGTAAAACGTCTCTTTGTACTGACAAATTGATAATTACCATCATCAAAATTTAACTTATTCAAACATAATGATAAAAAAACATTGTTAGAAATATAAATTTACCATTTTACATTGTTTATATTCAATTTGATGAAAAATTTCAACAAAAAAAAATCTTTTTCCTTGGACCAATACGGACCGATACAAATCTTCTACTTTTGGAGAAAGTAAAACAGTGCGATAATGTACTAGATACTAGATTAATTATAAGATAAAAAGTACCAAATAAATTTTCTTCCGCTTCCAGAATGATAAATTTTCAACGAGTATCACGATCCCCCAAGTAAACTCGAGTAAACTAATTATCTCAATCTTCTCGACGGCAATACGCAAAGAAAAGCATCCAAAGTCGATTCCTAATTATTGTTGCCTCCAAGGCGCGCGCAGCGACACTGAAGCAAAAAGACGCCACTAATTCCTTGGTAGGTACCCCAACATAGCAATCATGCACACGTACCTATTGTAATATAAGCCTCCCCGCTGGATCAAACCGTGCAAGAAGCGAAGCAAAGTTTCTCATTTCAGTCGGTGCATTAGCCGCGTGGACTATATAGAGGAAAGCTCTTATATATATGTATATGTTTGATTCGCTTGGCGAGACTTTCGGCTGTGGAAGTTATTTCAATGATTAAATTTAACTCGAGATATGGGCGTTGTTGGGTCGTATACGTACATATAAAACGGAGTGAGTTGACGAAACATTCTTTCCATCACGTACACGACGGAATTCCAATATTAACGAAGAGCACATCGATCGAACATACACGAAACACACTAAGAATATAAATAAAAAGAGAAATTTAATTTCATCCTTTGATTTGTGATTCGTTGGAATAACCGCCAAAGTCAATGTTGCAACGTCTGTCGAGAATTCCTTTTTTTTTTTTTTTTTTTTTCAATCCATCGTAGTAAAATAATGTGATTTTTCCGAAATATTAACCGTGATAAGAGAACTACGGTCATTATTACTAAATAAAACCGAAATTGTTTTCACAGCAAACCATGCAATTACATAAACTAGCGCAGTATTCCCAATTGTCCCTTGAGTTCCACGGTAAAAATACATATTAGAATTGTTTATGTGTCAACTACTGCTAATTTTGCAAAAGCTCCAAGTATGAGAACTAAAGTGCTCTCCGTTTGGTTCGCGACTGCACTTGTTTACATTTAAACGAATACACCTCCACGTGCACACCCACGCACTTCCGACCACTCTCTAGTCTAGTGGCGCGCAAATAATGTCGGCGTCGCTTCCATTACGCTACATTGTATTACCGTGTACGGGAGGGCACAGCACCAACCAAAGAAAATGAAAAAAAAGGTTAGTGCATGATGCAGTCGAGGTTTCGAGCTGCATAAGCTTTCGCGGGCTAACGAGCAGGAATTCAATTTACGAGCGGGTGTCGTGGTATGCTTGTTGCCGGACAACCTTATCGGGGGTGGCCCTTTGAAACTTTTAATTTCATCGAGTCGGGGGAAAGGGGGGGAGGGTGAAGCGAGAGGGCGAAATTTCGATAGCGACCGCGCTTGGGCTCGTAAGACTCGAGCCGGACGAGGAGATAAAGAGAGCGCCCGTGGGCCTTTGTGCTTTATATTTTTTTTTTTTTTTTTTTTTTTTTTTATTGTTGTGCGATAGCGGTGCTTGGATGCTCTGATAAACGAAGCTATTATTTTTGGCTCTCTCTTTTCATCCCGGGATCGTGGAAAAAGGCTCTTTTGTACATTGTGTTCTCGCAATTTTTTTTTTTTTTTTTTTTTTCTTTTAATAAAGGGGTATGAATAAAATAATCAAGCCTGCATTTGTGAAATAAACTCCGGGTCCATTCGCAGGTTGGAAACTAAGGATTTTCAATTTAATTGAAACCTGCAAGAGTGAAACACAAAAATGCTGTTGTATTGCTTTTATCCAAGTAAAAAAACCATTAATGAAAAGAATATACATGGGATGATTTTTACCGATTTATTTCCATTAGAATTTTTTACTGCGAAGCCATGATAATTTTTCTTTTCTTTGAGGAGAAACATATTATCGTCAGCATGAGGGGTCGATAATTTAGATACGTATCTTATAATAACCTAAGTACAGCTGACAGGGATTAATGTTTTTGATAAAAAAAATTTTTAAAAAAATTGCCATGAAGNTATCGTCAGCATGAGGGGTCGATAATTTAGATACGTATCTTATAATAACCTAAGTACAGCTGACAGGGATTAATGTTTTTGATAAAAAAAATTTTTAAAAAAATTGCCATGAAGCTAGGGCAAAAATTATGGACTCTCTATCTTGTGTAAAAAACATGTACACATCGAAAGATTTAGTTTGAAACTAAATAAGTTTGAAGTACACAATAATCAATGTTTTTGTTGTTCTAGCTATGCTTTTGTTAACTTTTTTATGAAAAAACAAAAAAAAAGGAACAAAAAAAACACTACGCATCCCAATAATTTTTCCATGAAAACGAAGATACATACCAGCGGTGGTTCCTGCTGCTACTGTGAATAATGCATTCGCGCTTCCGCCGCTATGCTGCTGGAGTTCGAAAGTGATGGGGGGAGTACCATACCAACGGTGTATGCAGTGAAAAACCCGCAACAACGAAAGCCGGAAAAAACGAGCCCGGCGAAAGAAAAATTGGAAAATAACTCGCAACCTTTTGTCCGACCACTCTTTTGGGGGTAGTATTATTATTACACGACGAGGACCAAAAGAAAAAAAAAAAATCATCACCATTTTATCATTCGCTAACAATACTGGACAAAATCGTCAACGGAAGCAGGTACGAAATGAAAGGCACGCAAAGAGCGCGATACCTCGAGATGTAAGCGTGAAAAAAAAAAAAAAAAAAAAAAAAGGGTTGGAGGTGAACACGAGAGGAAATGAATAAGCGATGCCCGGAGTTCATTGAAATGCTGCTTCCCTCTCGGCAGTTTACCACCGTTTTTGTGTACACACGGACTTTTTACATATTGCGATCGAGAATAACCAATGACTTCGAAATATTACAGCAAAGACACACATCACGATGCAGAATGTAATATATTTGTATAGGTATAGGATAAATGCGGGAATGATGTACATATGCCAAGGTACACGTACACGTTGAATAATCGAGAAGAAGAACCGAGCCGAGAATACACTCTCGAGGGTTCTTCTCTGTTTGCTCGAGTTTTCAATAAGTGAAAAGTTTCGATCGACATGTGCATCACTGTCCCCGTATATGCGACCACCTACTTTTTTTTACGCGCGCACGTACACAAGTCGCACACCCGCCGAGTATTTATACAATAGCGTCAAGAAAAGAGAGGAGGAAAAAAAAAAAAAATGTAGAATCGAGAGCAGCCAAGATATCAACTTCTTACACGACTGTATAGCAATAAAAGAAAGAAGGGCAATAGGTATACATACGCATAAGCAAAGAATATAAGAAACGTGAGCAGGGCGTCTTTGTTCTCGTTACACACAATACAGAAACGTCTCGTGTGCGTGTGGATTATATTGTATTATATTGTATGTACACCGCATATTTATGATAATAATAATAATAATAATGTTAATGCACCCTGGCACACAAAGGTGCGTATGGTTGTATAACAGTTCTATACTATATACGTATGTATGTACTACTTGCCGGGTTGCGGAAACTTG